GGGGCCCCGCCGCAGCCCCACCGCCAGCCGACGGACCCCCCAGCCGGAAGTTGCGGACCTAGCGCCGGAAGGGGTAGGGTCGTCGTCCGGGTTGGACGACGATTGGCACCCGGAACCGAAGGTGGGCGGAGCCGGGACCGTTGCTGAGGTAACGGTTCTGGGGCTGTGGGCGGGGTGATGATATGGGCGTGGTCGACGCGACAGACTCGGGCGAGTGGTTGGCTACTGGGCGTGACCGATAGGAAGGCCCTAGGCCCTAACAACAGGGCCCTGGGAGTCGTTTGCCTAGCAACGTTGAAACCTCAAGTGCTATTCAGAATCCTCGTGTTGTTACAGCTGACTCCTGGCGTTTCTTGCCTTTTTTTTTTTTAAATTAAAAAATCACTTTACTGCTTTTATTTATTTTTGCGTTTTTGCGTAGACAAGCGCAATGTAGAGGTCAGAGGGAGTCAAGTCCCCTCCCACCATGTTGGTCCTAGGGATCGGAATCAGATCCTCATGCTTGGCAGTTAGTGCCTTTACCCGCTGAACCATCTCGCTGACCTTTGTTTTGTCTCACACTTAGAGCCCAGGCTGTCCTCAAATGTGACCCAATCCTTTTTGCCTCAACCTCCAGAAGTTCTTGGCTTTCAGGCCTGAGACACCACACCTTGTTTCATTTGAGGCTCAGTGACTTAGTTCTCGGCCCTTCGTTGTCTACCTGGCAGCCTAAAGCCCTTCCCTTCCTCATTGTGGTCTCCTGCTGCCGGAGGAGTGAAGTAAAACCCTCCCGTGACCTATCTGACTCGGCCCACCTTTTCTTGGCTTTGTTTTCGTGAGAGTGATCAGCTTTGTCAATTTGACAGTACCTAGAATCACTTGGAAGACAGTCTCAATGAGAGACTGTCTATAGGGTAAAGGGGCCAAGGAAAGAACACTCTGCCTCTGACTTGACCCCCAGGTTACAGAATCCCACCAATCCCTGAGCACAAAATCCCAACCATCCCTGAACTTGCCCCAGAATTAGCCTAGAAAAACACAATCCCAAGGCGCCCTGGAAAAGTGCACCCCCAACCCTCCACTGTGTGAGCCACCATTCCCTAGGCAGGAGGTCCTGACTATAAGAGCTCTGAGCCCTGTCCCGTGTGCTGCCGCTTCTCACCCTAGGGGCAGTCAGTCACCCTCCTGGATTTTTCCTTCCCAATAAATCTCATGAGCGAGGTTTGTTGTGCAGTGTGACACTTTTGCTGGAGGTAAGACTTTCCTTGGTGAAACTTTCCCCTAGAAGACCAGAACTGCAGCATTTGCTAACCCTGAGCAAACCTGTAACTACTTTGCTAGACCTCAGCAGAGCTGAAACAGCCTCCCTGGGAAAGCCCTCCCGGCCAGAGCAGAGTTGTTACACTTGCACTGGGGAAACCATTCCCTAGAGCAGGGCTGTCAGCTGCTATACTTAGTGATTTCGTGGGATTCCTTGGCTCCCGACTGCCTGGATATATTTCCCCCGGAGCTGCAACACTTACACTGTCTACTACACTGGGTTGGCCTGCAGGTATGTCTGCGAGTAATTGCCTTAATTGATGTGGGAAGACCTGCAATTCCCTAGGCAGGGGTCCTGAACCATGTAAAAGTGGAGATAAGACTGAGCACACCCAAGCAAGCATACATGTATTCCCTCTCTCTGCTTCTTGACTGGGGAGATTACTGCCTTGACTTCCCTACTATGATGGATTGTAACCTGGAATAGCAAGCTGAAATAGTGTTTTTCTCCCCTAAGTTGCCCCTTGTCAAGGTATTTTATATTTACCACATCAACAGAAGAAAAGCTAGTTCTGTTTTGCCATTCATTCATTCATTCATTCATTCATTTTGTGAGAGAAGGTCTCTAGCTCAGGTTGACTTCCACTTCCCTTTGTAGTTGAAGAAAACCAGGAACTCTAGGTCCTCCTGCTTCTACCTCTTCCAAGTCGGTATGACAGCATTTTGCAGTGGTGGGTACTGAAGCCAGGGCTTTGTGCAAGCTGGGCAAGCACTCGAGCAACTGGTTGTGAACCACCATGTGGGTGCTGGAACTTGAACTCAGGACTTCTGGAAAGGCAGGCAATGTTCTTAACCGCTGAGTTATCTCTCCAGTCTGCCCCACCAATAAACAAAATTTTAAAAAATAAATGAGGCTGGATGACCCAAGTTCAGTTCCCAGCCCACAAACCAAGGGGCTCACAATTGCCTGTAAGACAACCGGGGATCTGATCCCCTCTTCTGGCTTCTGAGGGCATCTTCACACACATGCATAGACACCCACATACACATAAATAAAAACAAATCTTTAAAAACAAACAAGGCAGGCAGCAGTGGCGCACACTTTAATCCCAGCAATTAGGCGGCAGAGGCAGGCGGATCTCTGTGATTTTGAAGACAGCCTGGGCTACAGGACAAGTTCCAGGACAGCCAGAGCTACAGAGAAACCCTGTATTGAGAAACCAAAACCAAAGAAATAAATAAGCACAAACAAACAAGGAGAAGGAATGACTGAGTCCACTACCTATGACGAATGAATGTGGAGTTTAGCATTTGAGCCTTGCAGGGTTTTATTTGGAGCACTGGGCGCTTTCCTACCCATGTCCTGCAAGGGCAGGGAACAAAAAAACAACAGGAAAAATACAATCTGTAAGTACAAATAAGGGCAAAAGCTATGGAACAGAGCTTGGTGACCTCAGTCCTCCAGGTCTTCATCCTCCTCATCCTCCTCATCCTCCTCCTCTTCCTCAGCTGCTGCCAGGGCCTGCTCCTGTGCAGCTTTCAGGGCCTGCTCCTCCTCCACTGTGGGGTCACTCATCTCCATAATCTCAGGGCCGCTGGGATACTCTTGCTGAATCGGAGCTGGCAGGGATGGGTTGAAGTTTTCAGGGCTGTACTTGTGGCCCCAGCCAATGTAGAGGTTCTCAAACTTCCTAGAGAGATAGGGAAACATTCTCTTTTGGGGGGACAACTAAGTATGGCACAGCATCACCACAGAGTTGTCAGTGGGCAGATGACAGGTACACATGGAGTTTTGCCGTCAGTCTATCCCACAAAGGTTTACTGAGAACCTGTTACGTGTTCACCAAATCTAAAGTAGCAAGGGGACTGGAGAAGTGTGTGTGTGTGTGTGTGTGTGTGTGTGTGTGTGTCTGTCTGTCTGTCTGTCTGTCTGTCTATTGGTGTGAGTTTATGCACATGAGTGCAGTGTCTGCAGAGGCCAGAAGAGGGCATAAGATCCCTGGAGTTGTAGTGGCAGGTGGCTGTGAAGGTACCAAATATGAGTGCTGAGAAACTGAACTCAGGGGTCTTCTGCAAGAACAGTACATGCTCTTAACTACGAAGACAAGGTCTCCCTATATAACACATGTATATAAACAAGGCTAATCTCAGACTGGTGCAGATCTGCCTTCTGAGTGTGGGGATTAAAAGGGCATCACCACTTCACTTCACTTATATTTTGAAGCAGAGTCTTTTCACCAGGTCTGGAGCCAGATTCTGCTAGGCTGACTTCACTAGTAAATTCCAGGGCTCCATTGATCCTCAGCCCCTCACTGGGGGATTCTAGGCAGGGGCTCTACCTCTGAGCCACACCCTAGGCCCTCACTAGAGGATTCTAGGCAGGGGCTCTGCCACTGAACCACACCCTAGCCCCTCACTGGGGAATTCTAGGCAGGGGCTCTGCTACTGAGCCACACCCTAGCCCCTCACTGGGGAATTCTAGGTAGGGGCTCTGCTACTGAGTCACACCCTAGCCCCTCATTGGCTTGGGCAGCAATTACCCACTAAGCCATCTCCTCAACCTTTGTGGTCTTCTTCAATCACTAATCACTTCTGAGTCATTGGTTCCTGGTCTCATATCGTCAGCATCCCCCTCTGCCTCATTGACTGCTTTCTCACTGCCTTCTCAGGGAGTCACTGAGCACATCTTGTATGATTGTGATCGCCTTACATCTAACTGAGCCTTGTTTGAAGATTCAGTTCACACTCTGTCTTGGAGTGTTTCCGTGGACACTGGAGAAGAATGTGTGTTCTGCTGTTTTTGGGTGGAGTGGCTTTGATTTAATTTTATTTAATTTCAATTTTAAAAATAAAACTGATACTTAATTTGGTTATTGGAAAACCTCCAAAGAGTCCTGGAACAACTTGGGTACATGAATCCACTTTTGCTTCTTTTTTCTCTTTATGGGAGTATGTCACCATGTAGCCTGGACTGGCCATAAACTAGAAACTCCTGCCTCAGCCTCCTTGCTGCTTGGATAACAGAGATGTATCAGTAGCCTGACTAAGGTTAATTTATTTCTCCTAGTGGTACAGGAGGTTGAAGCCAGAATCTCCTACCAGGTAGGAAGGCACTTAACTGCTGACCATGCACGCCCCCAGCCCCTCACTGGGGGATTCTAGGCAGGGGCTCTACCACTGAACCACACCCCCAGCCCCTCACTGGGGGATTTTAGGCAGGGGCTCTACCACTGAGCTGTATGTAATCTTGGCTCATTTTTATCTTGAAATACATTCTAGGTTGCTCAGCCTGGCCTTATGCCCCCTCTGCAGTCAAAGCTGGCCTTGGAATATCTCATCTTCCTTCTGTCTTGGCGTCCTGATTATCTAAGCTTATTGGAATCATGATCCTGTGCCACCAGCCCAGCAAGCCTTTCTGATAAAAACTTCATATCCAAACTGAGATTCATTTTAACGAAAAACATATTCCAGATTCTGAAGACATGTTATGAAATAAGGAATGAAAAATAGAAGCTGGGTAGTGGTGGCACATACCTTTAACCCCAGCATTGGAGAGGCAGAGGCAGGTGGATCTCTGCGAATTTGAGGTCAGCCTCGTCTACAGAGTGAGTTCCAGGACAGCCAGGGCTACATAGAAAGACCTTGTCTAAAAAAAGAGGGGGGAATAGCTGGAGAGATGACTCATCAGTTCAGAGCACTGGCTGCAGACTGGAGAGATAGTTCAAGTGGTTAAGAGCGCTATATGCTTTTTCAGAGGACCCAGGTGCAATTCCCAGCACCCACATGGCAGTACACAACAGTCTGTAACTCCAGTTCCAGGGGATCCGACTCCCTTGTGCAGACATACATACAGGCAAAACACCAGTGCACATGAAAAATAAATCTGTTTTTAAAAAGCAAAATGAGGGCTGGGGGCATGGCTCAGCAGTCAGTAGAGCCCCTGCCTAGAATCCCTGAGTGAGGGGCTGGGGTGTGGCTCAGATAGAACCCCGCCTACATCCCCCAGTGAGGGCCTGGAGTGTGACTCAACAGTAGGTCACTTGCCTAGAAGAGGCCAAAACCCTGGCTTCAATCCCAGCATCACAATACAATCACCCTGAAACCCAGGCTCTTTTCTAGACATTTGAACTAGAATTTTGATCTTCGCCAGATTCTCAGTGAGTCCTACACATTCTGATTATAAAACTGGTCTAGACTACTTCTGCCTGTCTCTAACGGTACTTCTTTCTTTCCCTGTGGATTGTAGATTGAGGTTGCTTTCTCTCCAGAAGCCACAAGGACTCAAGACACCCAATTAGGAGCTTATCTTGCTCATAACAGGGTACTCGCTGGCATGGGGCAGGGAGTGTGTGGATGGTAGGGATGTCGTACAAGACTGGATTTCTGCTACCAGCTCCCGTGTGTGGGTCTATGGCTGTCTTTCCAATAAGGGCCTGGGGTCCTGCAGGCAGCTGCCAAATAGTGATGTTCAAGAGTTTCTCATAGAGCCAAGTATGATGACATGCCTGCAATCCTAGTATTCCAGAAGGATTGGGAGTTCAAGGCCAGCCAGAGCAGCATAATGAAACCCTGTGTCAACAACAATAAGGTTCTTTTAGGGCTAGAGAGAGACAGCAGCACAAGCTGGACAAGCTGAGTCTGACCCTGGGACCCACATAAGAGGTCAGAGTTGGCAGCACAACTGTAAACTCAGCACACATAGTGCGGGATGGGGTGCAGAGATCGGAGAAGCATGGTCTGGAAGCTCAGGGAGCTAGCCTGAGATACACTGCACATCACAGAAACAGATAGACTGCTACAACAAGGTGGAAGGCTAGCACTCACTCCTGTGCCTTCTGACCTACACACGCATGATGCTGTTCATGCATGTGCACACACAGTTAATTTATTTCAAGAGTCTCAGGCACTTGTTGTCAAGCACATCTTTAATCTCAGCTCTCCAGATGCAGGCAGATCGCTCTGAGTTTGAGGACAGTCTGGTCTACATAGTGAGTTCTAGACCAGCCAGGTCTACATGGTGAGCTCATGTCTCAAAAAGAAAAGAAAAGAAAGGGAAAGAAAAGAAATCCCACATGAATCAAAATAAAGTCTCTTTTGGGGCTGGTGTGATGACTCGGCCGCTAAGAGTGCTTACTGGTTTCCTGCACCCACATCAGGAGGCTCATAACCACCTATAACTCCAGTTCCTGGATGCCCAGCGCCCTCTTCTGGCCTCCAAAGGCATCTGCATGACTGTGCTGTACATAAACTCACACAAGCACACACATACATGTAAATAACATATGTAACTTTGTCTAGAATACTCTTTTATAAAAAGACAAAAGACGGATGAATTACTGAACTGATGGATGCACAGATGGATGAGCTGATGACGAATGAATGGGTGAATGAATGGGAGGGAGGGTGGGGAGATAAACGGGCATGAGGCCAGTAGAACTCAGTTTGACTTTCAGAGAGATTTTTAAAAATTAATGTGTGGCTGGAAAAAGAGGGTTAGAAAAATTCTAGTCTCAGATTCTGGACAAAAAAATAATAATCCACAAGAATATGACTAAAAGCATCAAGTGTCCTTGAAACTCCATCAGGACTAAGCCCAGAACTCAGCAATATAGAGCACCGAGATCAGAGCAGAAGAGCTCTGCCCTCTGGTGGACATGTCTGGAATCGCAGCCAGGGTCTCTGAAGGCTGTAGTGGGCCTGGGAGGCTAGTGAGCTGATGTAGGGATTTAGAGACAATTTAAAGGTAAGAAGAGTGAAAGTCGGGGCGATCAGAGATTGTCAATATATATTTTTTGAGATGGGGTCTCTCTATATAGCCCTGGATGTCCTGGAACTAGCTCTCTAGATCATGCTGGCCTCAAACTCACATAGATCCCCCTGCCTCTGGCTCCTGAGTTCTGGGATTAAAGGCGTGCACCACCACTGTCTGGCTGGTAGGTAATATGTCTGTCTCATAGGTAGACCCCTGGGTCAAGGCTAAATCTTACTTGCCAACGGCGTAGGCATAGGCCCCTGGCCAGAGGTTGGAGCGCACAACGGCCACCGAGTACTGCGGGCTGAGGCTGCAGGAGAGGCGGGTGGTCCAGGGCGACAGATGCATGATCTCTGTTGTGAGAAGAAAAAGGGCAGTGGGGTCAGGGGTCCCCAAGCCACTCCTGACTTTACCACATGGATGAAGAAAGGGGGACCAGGCATGAGCCACAAATCACACTGACGCCCAGCTCTGGCCTCTCTAGGAAGACACTTCACCTATCTCTACTTCAGTGAGGGGAACGAGAACTCCCACGTCACCTCCCTTGCTGGGTGGTAGTGAGGTCTGGTAGCCATGTCCCCAGCAGCAACCTCCAAGCATTCTCTTACAGAGTGCATGGCTTTGAACTAGGGCTCTGGGGTTCGCACACCGGACCTGGGCCGCCCTCTTCCCTCCAAGAGCTCTCAGACTTACGGAATTCCTGCCATGAATGCAAAATCCCACTCCTGGCTGCCTCCCCTAGGGGAGGCTCCTAAACTCTCTCTTCCCCAAGCCTGGTTGGGGCTCAAGAGACTGTCATCCAGCTAGGCATAGGGGCACATGCCGATAATCCTAGCACTGAGGAGACCAAAGATGATTGTTTAGAGTTCAAGGTTAGCCTGGGCTACAGAACAAGACCTGCCTTGAATGGCCTCTGCTGTGACAACCCTCCAGAAAGAGAGACAACCAAGGAAGGGATTCTGTCTCAAGGTCATGGTCATTGTCACGTGCCTGATGAGGCTTAATCACAAGAAGTAGCTGAGGATGCCCCATGAGTCTTCCACTTCTGGCGCCCTAAGGCTTGGATGACAGACTTGTGCTCCCAAGACCTGGCCTGATGCCCACTGTACTGAGGCTCAGAAGGTGAGTGACATCAGTGTTTGAATCCCATCAACCCCTTACAGGCCACCACTGTACCTGCCCCAAAGAAAGGACTTACCTGCATCTTCTGAGAGAGGAGTCAAAAGCGGAGGACCGACCTCCTGCTCCACCTCCTCCATCCCTTCATCCGCCTTCTCTTCCTCCTCCCCTAGCTCCTCCTCCTCCTCTGTCTTCTGCATTGGGTTCACCCATGTACAGCGGCCCTGGGGGTGCAGCGGCAAAGTCAGACGGCACCCTCCGACAGAGCTTAGCCTACTGTGGGAAAAGGTGGAGTGCTAGACAGGTCCCTAGAACACTGGTCCTGTTCCCAGTGAGCCCCAGGATGCTGGACATATTGATGAGAAATGAGACCTCGGTATTCCTGGGGCTGCTGTCATTCTGCAGTGGCAATGTCACTTGTGCGTCCCTCATTGGGTGGACACTGAACTCTCTCTGTGAGTGTGTGTGTCTCTGTATGTGTGTGATATCAGGCAAGCATTCTTCCGAGCTACACGCCCAGCTTTGTTTTGATTTTGTTGTTTTCTTGATTTCTTTTGTTGTTGTTGTTGTTGTTGTTGTTGTTGTTGTTTTTCAAGGCAGGTTTTCTGTGTTGCCCTAGCTGTCCTGGACCTCGCGCTGTAGACCAGGCTGACCTCAAACTCATAGAGATCCGCCTGCCCCGACTCTCGAGTGCTGGGGTGAAAAACCACCACTTCAGGCCCCGTTGTTGTTTAACACGGTGTCTTGTTCTGCGACCTTGAACTCCCTCTGATCAATGACTGCTTTTAGTTTTTTTTTAATATTTATTTTATTTTATGTGCATTGGTATTTTACCAGCATCTATGTTCATTTGAGAGTGTCAGATCTTGGAGTTACAGACAGTTGTGAACTGCCATGTGAGTGCTGGGAATTGAACCTGGGTACTTTGGAAGAGTCAGTGCTCTTAACCCCTGAGCCATCTCTCCAGTCCCAGTGACTGTTTTTTGAATAAGTACAGGCAGGCACACAGCACAGCTCTACCTCCCATTTCCTCATCTGTGAAACAGGGTCAGTACCTGTCCTGGAACTCGCTCTGTAGACAAGACTGGCCTTGAACTCTCAGAGATCCATCTGCCTCAGCCTCCCGAGCGCTGGGACTAAAGGTGTGCACCACCCACACCTGGCCTTCAGAAGGAGTTCTTTGAAGAAAGTATGGTAGTTTATGCCTGTAGTACTGGTTCGCTGCTGTTCGTGTGTGTGTGTGTGTGTGTGTGTGTGTGTGTGTGTGTGTGTGTGTGAACTCTATACAAGCTAAAGTCATCCAGGAAGGAAGCTCAGCTGAAAAAAGGCCTCCATCAGATTGGCCTGCAAGCAAGTCTGTGGGGTATGCTCTTGATTAATGACTGATGTGGGAAGGCCCAGCTCACTGTGAGCAGTGTCATCCCTGGGCTAGTGGTCCTGGGCTGTATAAAGCAGTAGGCTCCACCCCCGAGCCCCCACAATGCTGGTACGTGCCTTTAATCCCAGCACTCAGGAGACAGAGGCAGGTGGGGCTGAGGCAGGCAGGTCTCTTGAGTCTCAGGACAGCTAGCGTTACACAGAGAAACAGTTTCTTGAAAATAAAAAAATAAAGAAAAGAAAAAAGGCGAGTTATTGCAAAGTCGATAACAGTTGATTGAATTAATTAGATGTTCCCAGCTGGGCCAGTGAGATACTTTAGTGGGTAAAAGTGTCTATGGAAAAACCTGACATCCTGAGTTCAATTCCCAGGACCCAGGTGGTGGAAGGACAGAATCCACTTCTGAAAGTCATTTTCTGACCTCCACAAACACAACTAATACATAATAAATTAAAATGTAACCAAAGCATCTCTTGTTCCCAGCAATCTTCATGGGATGACTAAAACCCAAGGCTGATGTCAGGACCCCGCCGGTACTCGACACAATCAGCATCATCGTCACCTGCCCCCCACCCAAAAATCCTCAAGACATGTTCTACAGAAGAAGAAGGGCACTGCTGGCCACAGTGTCTGTTACTGCAGCCATCTCCCCAGAAGCCATCCTGCAGCGCCCCTTGCCTGAGCTGACGGGCGTCGTTCCTGTGTCAGCCAGAAATGCCCAGGTGTTTGAATGTTCACTGCAGCGCTGCCTGTCACTAAGGCTCGCCTGTCCAGAGCTACCTGTCACTACACTTCGCCTGTCCTGTCCTGTGGCTCGACCCTCTTTCCAACCAGAAAGTTCTGGATATCCCAAGGTCCATCTGACTCCAAAGTGTCTGTTGGGGGAATCACCAAGCAATTCCTATTTAAGAAAATAAGGTGAGCATGAGAGATGGATGGGTGGGTGGGTGGGTGAGTGGATGGGTGGAAGGATGGGTGGGTGGGTGGATGGATGGGTGAATGGGCAGGTGGCTGAATTGGTGGCTGCGCAGATTGAATAGTGTATAAGTAGGTGGACAGTTGGGTAGATGAATGGGGTGGATGTATGAATGTATGAATGGATATACAGACAGTTGACAGACTAGTGAATGGACAGATAGACTTGTGAATGGAGTGGTGGGTGAATGGATTTGTGGTTGGAAGAGAGGGTAGCTGGGTGGAGGGTTTGGTTGATGGACAAGTAGACGAATGGATGGATGGATGGATGGATGAACAGATTATTGGATGGATGGATGGATGGATGGAGGGAGGGAGGGACAGGTGGATTCAAGGGAGAAGGATGGGTGAATAGAACAATGGATGGAGAGATGGATGGAGAGATGGATGAATGGGTAGGTGTATGGATCCGAGATTGGATGTCTGGGTAGATGAGTGAGAGTATAGACAGATGATTGGGTGAGTATAATACTGGATGGATGGATGGATGGATGGACGGACGGACGGACGGACAACGACCAGTATCATGTTTTTTTATCACACAGATGCAGGGCTGGCTTTGGGTTCGTCCTGGTTGGGCACTGTGTCCTTACCTGTGGCAGGATATGCTGCGTGTGATGTACCCAGTTGGCCATGGAGTCTACAAGCTCCAGCACCGGGATGCCCTCAAAGTCGGGGTTCTCCTCGAACGAGTCACGCCCTGCGCCGCCCTCCTCCTCCTCATCTCCCTCCTCCTCGCCGAACTGGTAGAAGCCCAGCGGGCTGATGTGCGTGGCTGCTGAGATGCGCGCAATCTGAGCACGCAGGTAGTTGGCCTCATTGCCCGGGAAGGGCGGATAGCTGATGACCGGCGTGTCCAGGAAGCCGGTGAAGAACTTCTTGATCTTGCGCGCGCTGACGATCTGCGCGGGCGTCACGTGTGGCAGGCGAGTCCACGGGCGGCCTGGCTCGTTGCACACGAAGTACAGGTACTTGTTGGTGCCCGTGCGGCTCTCCTCCTTGGGGATGACTGGCGGCGGCTTCCACTGCGGCTTGGGCACTGCATCCACCACCTTCTCCTCATCCTCCTCGCCCTCCTCCTCACCGTGCGCCTCCAGGACCTCTCCTCCCTCCATCATCTCCTCCACCTCCTCCTCCTCGCCTTCCTCCTCGCCTTCGCGGAACTCCACCTCGGCCACCAGGTAGCTGCGGCTCAGTCCCAGGATCTTGCCCCAGAAGCGGCACGTGTGGATGGGTTGCTGCTCCACCAGCTGCCTCAGGGCCAGGAAGATCCGGAAGCTTTCATCGGAGCTCAGTCCCACGCCTGCCTGCTCGAAGTAGAAGGCCGTCTCCATGATGTTGGGCACCGGACTGTCATTCTGCACAGGGATGGGAGAGGGGATGAGAAAGAGGATGGAAGGCTGAAAACTTTAGGGTCTGATTCTCTTGCCATCACCTGGATCCCAGGGATGGTACTAGGGTCTGCAGCCTCAGCAGAAAATTCTGAGCCAGCCCCGCAGCCCGACTCCTCCAGAGTTAAGAAACTTGGACTGAGGCCACCAGTTTCGGGGAATGTCCTCAGGGAGGGTGTCCCTGACCGTTGGGTACCAACAGGCAGTAAATGCCTGGGTCATCATACTCTACACCCTCATAGCCATGGGGCGAAATGTGGACTTGGCCCTCGGGCGCATGGCTGGATCGCCCTATCACCCTGGCCTTCTTATTCTACTGGACAAAAGAATCACTGTTGCCAGGCTCGGTAACACACACCTTTAAACCCAGCACTTGGAAGGGAGAGGCTGATGAATCTCTGAGTTCAAGGACAGTCTGGTCTATAGAGTGAGTTCCAGCCAGCCAGGGGTGCATATCAAGACTGTATAAAACATAGACACTATTAGTCGTGGTGTCCGTTCCTTACAACCCAAAGCAGTCTTCACTGCCTATCTTTCCACTGTGTTCTTGGTTCATGACTGTAGGGTAGGGTGAAGAACAGAGGGAGGGAAGGAGGGAGAGAGGGCGGGCCTGAAAAGTAATGCTTGACAGGAATCCTGCGGGGGGGCGGGGGGGCACGGAGGGGATGGAAACAGAAATCCGGAAGAAGTGAAATGTGTGTCTGTGGCATGTGGCCTCTGCGCCTTACCCACCAAGGCTCTAGCCTTTCTCTGAGGAATGCCTGTCATCTGCTCAGCAGAGGGGCCACAGGCCACAAAGCTCAACATTCCTCAGTCTAGCAATATTGAAATAGCCAGTGGTGCCCTGAGCCAAGTCAAAGCTGCTGTGAAACAAGCTGTTCGAGACTCTGACTGGTTGCTGGTCATCTTTGGAGTCTCTGCCTGCAGATTCACATGGCATCTGTGTGTGTGTGTGTGTGTGTGTGTGTGTGTGTGTCCCATTTTTCAATCCTTTTTTTCTTTCCTTATTCCTATGCAATTAGAATTGGCATTCAAGGGGCTGGAGAGAGAGATGACTCAGTGGTTAAGAGCACTGGTTGTTCGTCCAAAGGTCTTGAGTTCAATTCCCAGCAACCACATGGTGGCTCACAACCATCTGCAATGAGGTCTGGTGCCCTCTTCTGGCCTACAGACATACACACAGACAGAATATTGTATACATAATAAATAAATACATGAATAAATAAATATTTTTTAAAAATAAATAAATAAAAAAATATTTTTTAAAAAAGAATTTCATTCAAAATGGATGCTTCACTTTAAATATTATTAGACTTTCAGTATCTATTTTATGTATTATCTCCCACCAAAACCAAAACCCATGACAGTATTAGAATTAGAGAAGTGGTTACGTCCTTGCTCATGACTTGTCTCCATTGCTGGCACTCGGTTCCTCATCTCTATAGCCAGCGTGCCTTGTTCTTTCCCTTCTGTTACACTCTATCCATACATACACTTTATATACATAACTGCTGGACTCCACACATGAGGGCAAATATATGCTTTGTTTACTTTCTAAGATTGTGGCCTCACAATATTATATATTCCAAGTCCATCTGTTTTGTTTTTCTCTGTGAAGCCCTGACTGGCCTAGGACTCTCTCTGTAGACCAGGTTGGCTTCAAACTCAAGGATTCACCCATTTCTGCTTCCTGAGTGCTGGGATTAAAGGCATGAGCCACTATGCCTGACTTTACATGAATTATGTGGGTTTTTTCCCCCTAACTCTATAAAGTTTTGCATGGAGACTTTGAAAGGAATTGTATTAAGTTTGTTTATTAATTTTAGTAGACAGACATTTTCACAATAATAATAATGCCTACCCAAGAACATGGAAGGCTCTGTCATCTAGTATTTTCTGTGATTTCTTCTTTCAATATCTTGTCATCTGGGTTGTTGAGGTCTTTCACGTCTTTAGATATATTTCTCAATACTTAATTTGGGGGATTATTTTGCATGGAATATTTTTTTAATTTCTAACAGTGGTCTGAGAGTAGTTAATATAAGTGAAGCTATTGTTTGTGGTTTATTTATTTATTCATTTTGTTTCTTGAGACAGGATTTCTCTGTGTAGCCCTGGCTACCCTAGAACTCCCTCTATAAACCAGGGTGGTCTTAAACTCAGAGATCTGCCTGCCTCTGTCCCCAAGTGCTAGAATTAAAGGCGTGCGCCACTGCTACCTGGCTTTTTTTTTTTTTAGTTATTGATAAAGTAGGATGGATGTAATGTAATCAAATATTGCAAAGTCAACAATAGTTGATTGAATTAATTAGATGTTTCCAGCTGGGCCAGTGAGATACTTTAGTGGGTAAAAGTGTCTATGGAAAAACCTGACATCCTGAGTTCAATTCCCAGGACCCAGGTGGTGGAAGGACAGAATCCACTTCTGAAAGTCATTTTCTGACCTCCACAAACACAACTAATACATAATAAATTAAAATGTAACCAAAGCATCTCTTGTTCCCAGCAATCTTCATGGGATGACTAAAACCCAAGGCTGATGTCAGGACCCCGCCGGTACTCGACACAATCAGCATCATCGTCACCTGTCCCCCACCCAAAAATCCTCAAGACATATTCTACAGAAGAAGAAGGGCACTGCTGGCCACAGTGTCTGTTACTGCAGCCATCTCTCCAGAAGCCATCCTGCAGCACCCCTGGCCTGAGCTGACGGGCGTCATTCCTGTGTCAGCCAGAAATGCCCAGGTGTTTGAATGTTCACTGCAGCACTGCCTGTCACTAAGGTTCGCGTGTTCAGAGCTGCCTGTCACCACAGATACATTGTATCCTGAAACTTTACTGTGTTTATTGGGGCCAAGAATTTTCTAGCCGACTCAGTAGGAACTCAAAGTGAAGAATCATGTCATCTGCAAGAAGAGGTAGTTTGTCTTTGTCCCTTCCTATTTTTATGCCCCTTGTGTACTGTCCTGGCTAATTGCTGCAGTAATGACTGTGAGTAGTATACTGAATGAGAGGGGAGAATGACATTTTTGTGTGGTTCCTGATTTTAGAGGAAATGTTCTCATTTGTTTCCATCTAATACAATGTTGGCGGTAGCTCTTTTACTTCTGAGGACTACTCCATCTTTTCCTAACACTCCAGAACTTGTATCATGAAGGCACGTTGAACTTTGTCAAACGCCTTTTCATAGCTGACTGAAGTACTCATGTGTGGTTTCTGTGCTAGAGAGTGTCTGTGCTAGAGTGTGTCTGTGCTAGAGTGTGTCTGTCTGTGCTA